AGAGAAAACGAGAGAAAAAGCAATAAAAAAGTACAACTATAGAGAGAGAGAAAAATATAGCTGTAATTCTTGATGGGAAATCTATTTTTACAAAACACCTGCCCGAGTTTATAGAGTATCCATTTTTAAAAATTGGCACCCATACTAAGTTTTTCACGCTCTTTCGTATGATGTAATTTTTTATCAACTCTGCACGAGATCGAAAATTTTGAACTAGTTGATATGGATCTGAACAACTATTATTTCATTTACTCATGGAACAGAAATTTTGAGATGTAAGCGTAATGCGCTCGTGTATATCAATATCAGTGGATATTTTATCATCCTAAGAAAACGAAACGCAAAAGAGGGCAAAAAAAAGAGGAAAAATTCCGAAAGAACGAAACGGATGTGACGAAGAGCGCATTCATGACAAATTATTGCTTACCTGAGCAAAATATCATGCCTCATTGAGTCATGTATACAAACGAAAGTGGGAAAAAACTGAGTCATTTCGTCAATGATAAATACCAAGTAACACTGGTTTAGACCACACAAAACAAAATTTGTACACCTTAATATTACCTATTATGTGAGTATATTTGATTTCTTACATTATTAAACTAGAGATAAAATTAAAACTGAATGTCAAGAGTAGCTACAAACAACAAAAACCAACGGAACATTGAAATGAGACATTTTTATCATTACAAAGTGATATCAAGAAAGCTTCGATTGAGGGTGTTCAGCATATGAAATTGATAGTCTTCATTGAAGTAGCTCTTACACGTAAAATAGTCCTAGTATAAACGATATAAAACAGAGTCACTTTTATAGTATTTAGATTTCATCAAGAATTATAGTGTTGGAAAACACGATTTTCACTCTTAGTAAGCTAACATCGAAGCGAATTTCAGAACTTCTAATAGAAGCTTTTTAATGGGTCCATACGCACAGAATTGGAGAAGTCTTACGATTTTATAAGCATCGATCAAAGAGTGCAGCTATCAGATGATTTTGATTAATTAACAAGTTTAGCTGCTTTGACTTTGTTCATAAGTTGTGACATCATTCCAAATCAATCAGAATAATGACAGAAACGCCATTCTGACAGTTTGAGTTTCTGTGTAGACGATGCTTTTACCAATTATCTACTATTCTAACATCTTTGTAGATATAGTATTTCGAAAAAGAATATTTTGATGTTTCATTCTTGAATCTGAGCTTTGTATTATTTTCAATCTCATCTGTGCACTGCAACAATTTTTAATGATTGTCATGTAGTTAATGCAGCAGCAAAAATACCGGTCTCAGTATTTTCACTGTAACTCTTTCGACTGTCTGTCTGTTGAAGCGGGGCTAGTTTCCAAATGATCTTCAATACGGTTCTATAGTAGATGCCTACCAAAAAACTGATTTGAAGGAATCTGTAGACAAATATTTAGCTCAAACATTCACGATGCCAAAAAAAAACAGGTAACTTTCCAAATAAACTTCAGAAGATCTTTTACATTACGAGAAACAAGGAAACAAAAGTCAACACATTAGTGAGTATTTTCAAATTAGTTCTTTTTTCTCTTGCAAGTTAAAGTTCGATTGTATCAAAGTTTAGATTGAAAAGTTGCTTTTCGATAATGTCGTGCAAAGTGACTAAAATCGCCATTTCCTCGGCTGAACTCGAGTACTATTTGGAACCTTTTTACCCATTATCTACCCATATATATTGATGCGGTCATTAATAGAATTATCATAGAAACGAATCAAAATATTTGATTCAAAACTAATTCGGATAGATTTTGAATGATCAAAATTGATGAGTCTGAACCATTATTCTTGTCATAGATATATTTTTACAATTCTAACCATATTACTACTCGCTCCATATTTCATCATCTTTCAACCAAGAACTGACTAAATTAATTATCAAGAAACATTACAGATTACTACTAATTAGTAAGTATGTAATGGTAGTGTTCTTTTTGTCTAGTCATCTTTATATCTTTCAGATACTAAAATCAAAATTGTATTTTCGAAATTCGAAAACTTAAGAGTTCCACACAATAAATAAAGCATGAATTGCATCCATCACACGATCGTTGGACTTTTCATACTATTCCATATCTATGCTCTGAATTGTACTTTTATTCCTGATCGAAACGATTACGATGCCTATGGCATAAAAATAGCTATGAATGAGGTTCTGCTTGTACAAGCTCACAATGCTAAAAATCCACCAACATTTTTTATTCAATTTGCACCTTACAATACTACACAAAATTCATCTCAATGTTTCATCAACTATCCTGATATGTTAGACACTTATGTTTACTGCGTTGCTGTCGGCAAGAAACCGAAGCTAAATCAAACGCAATTTTTCTTTGCTGGTGAACTGATAAACAGTCGTAATGGAGTATTTATTGGCGTAGCAAAGTACAATCAGACAAATATAGTTTTGAATGCGTCGAATTCCTGTGCTTTGAGTTTCTCTTACTCTCTACAGTATCTAATCAATTATGAACATCAAGAACATTATGTCATTGGGGTTGAACCACAAGATCGTTTTGCCTATGGATTTTCAAATCAGTTTGTATTTATATTTGATTCTGTGAATGGTTCAACTTTGGAATCATGGAATGGCAATTTAACATGGCCGAATAGCTCTTTTATGCCTCATGCTGTTGATATCAGTAACAATTTCGGCATTATTGCAGGCTTTATTCAAAATGATCCACAAGGAAGAGTCAAATATAGTCCAATCATTTATCTGCTTAATTTCAATTCGTCAAATCATCCTCCAATTGTTGTTGATCAATATATACCAATAGCTACTCCCAGTACATGGCAAGATTTATTGACCTATTCGGATGTGAATATCTATTCAGCAAAGTATGATATGTCAATTAGTATTAATAGTCGTGGTGATGTTTTAGTTGGTATGCAATTTATAAATCGAGTTTTCTTATTTTCAGTAAATATTTCCAATCCAACACAATTGATTTATATAAATAGGAATACCAATGGTCGATCATTAGGTAATGGAAAAAGTCTAGCCTGGTTAGATAATGAGAATGTGGCCGCTATACTTATCAATACCTATTCACTCAATTATCAGTGGTCGTCATCTCAAATCTATTTGTATGACATGAAATCGAATGTTTATAATTCTAATAGTACTCCCATATCAATTTTTCCTAACTATCATCAAGTGTTGCCGCAAAGTTTTAGTCCTGTATTTTTAAATATCGTCTCATCACCAATATCACTAACTTTGATGGATCATAGTGGTAATTTGTTAATATTCACTCCCACATCAACAGGGTTCTATCCATCAATACCAACAACAGGATCAAAACCACTTATTACATCACCACAGCCTTGTCCGCCGGGTATGTACAAGGATCAAGTAGGCATTAATGATTGTATCCTCTGTCCGACTGGCACAAAAAACTCTGGTAATGCCACCACTCAATGTACACCATGTGCACTAGATGCATTTTGTCCGCTTGGCTCAGTGAGTGAAATATCTTCATCGGCATTGGAAAACATCGCACAATTAATTGCCTATCCCAAATCACCTGAAAGTACTATATTTGATGAGGTTTCATTACAAAATATGTTTCATATCGGAACTGGTCGTTGCCTTTTGGTATCGCCTTTATTTTGGACATTGATCGTAGGTGGTTTAGCTATTCTGATTGCTATAGTAATCAAGTTACTGAAATATTTTGTCGATCATACGACATATGTGCGGATAAAAAACCGAACTCATTACATATTTAAAAAAACAGATTTGATTGGTGAAGGTGAACTATGGGTAGGTGGTTTAGCATCATTTGCTGTGGTTGTTCTCGTTAGCTTCGCCTATGGATTTAGCAATTCCTATTACAAACAATATCCTATTGAAACATCAACCGATTCCTATTTCGCTTGCGACCTATCGACTCGTAATGCTAAATTTCAAACAAGTCTTCAAGCATTAGGTATACCACCGTCGAAAAATGAGAAAAAGATGTTCGATTTATTAAATGAACAAAGGTTGTCACTAAATATCGAGTTCATCAATACATTGATTAACTGTGATGTCATATTTATTCAAGCTCTATATGGTACAACCTGGTCGACGATTCGTTGGTCCAATTGTCAAAATAACAATTCCATCCTGTTTCTATCCATTCCCCTTCCCTTTCAACACATATCTGTACAAATCACTCTAGCTCAAGTTCAAACCATCGGTGCTCTACGCATCGGTCTAAGTGGTGATAAATATGAAGAAGAGTCATATAAACTGAAAGAATTAAATTTTTTCGAATCTTTTTCGAAAAATGGATTTGTTGTAGCACAAACATTACCAATCTCTCTCGTGCTAACAAAAGTAATCAATGAGACAATACCGATCGAAGGCGAAGAATCTGATTTTACTGGCATCTATATTCCAACCTTTGCGGTTGATTCAAAGAGTTTATTTCTTACACAAGATCAATATATGCATTCAACATCACAAGCAATTGTATTGACCGTTTTGCTGAGTGAAACATCTTACTATGTCAAAAATCAACAATACCCAATAGCCAAACGAGCAGAGATTATATTTCATAATCTTCTATTCACTATAGTTTGTCTGGAAATATTTGGTCTTGTATTCGTCTTGTACAAATTAACTTTGCAACCAATTTATCGTTTGCTCCGTCGGACAGTGTTTCGTTATCATGAGAAATATAAAACCGAACGCGAAAAAATGAATGGTGACCTAATACCCTTGGACAATCTGTCTAATACCCCCTGATGTTAATGAACAACGTATAGCACATGTTTACTAAAGCTCGAGCATCCATCTACATAAAAATTAACAATGATAGTAAAAGTTGTGCTTAAATAGTTTTTGACATGCTATAAATACGGTGTATTTCATTGAACATAAAAACTCGAAAACAACATTTTGCTCCAAGATTTTTAATGATCATCATACGAATGGGTGTGGGTGTGGGTGTGGTTGGATGTGGGCATGGGTGTGTAGGTGTGGGCATGTGGGTGTGAGTATGGGTGGGTGTGGGTATGAGGGTGTGAGTGTGAGTGGGTATGGGTGTGTGTGGGTATGGGTGTGTGTGGGTGGGTGAATGTGGGTAAAGACAAGACCTAAAAACATACTCATATCCACACCCACACCCACACCCACACCCACCCACACCATACTGCAAAGAATGTTGCTAAGTTTCAACAGTACAAGTGTTCATAGGATCCTATCTGATCTTTCGATGCAATTTTGACATGATCTTGCAATACTGTTAGGTAAACTTAAACATAGCTGGTCACATGTTGCTGTCAGATATTCGCTAGGGTGTATTTCGAGTATTGTCAACATCGAGCAAGCTTTATTCAATTTTCATAGCAGTATTTATTATTTATATGAAACTGCACATTAGATTATGCACTCAGTCTATATATCGAATAGTGATTATGCAAAATGTACGATAGGATTAGATGTGTGTGACATTTACGAAAGAGTATATATATGATGTACTTTACTTTTTCAATCAATATGATAGCTTGGTGAATTAAAACAATGACAATCACGTTGAATACAGTTCTAACGGTACTCGTTGTCATCGCACATCCTGACGATGAAACTCTTTTCGGCGGTTTTATTCATGCTCTTACACATAAACTCAATGCTTCAGTTGATCTTGTATGTGTAACAAACGGTGGAGGTGGTAATCGACATGCAGGATTGTCTGAATCGTTCTACGGAAATCTAAAATTATCGGAAGAAGCTATTGGTAGAAAACATTTGCCACGTATACGTCAACAAGAATTATTCGGCAGTGGACGAATAGTGGGTATTCGAAAATTTTTTTTCTACGATGAAAGCGATTTCAAATCAAGTCCATATATCAATACAATTTTGCATGAACAATGGAACAAAGAATGGATCATTCAACAATTTCAACACACAATTAAACATGGGAATAGTGCTAATGGCTATGATTTAATGGTTGTTATACTTCCAAATGTTGACTCATCGGAGCATCATACAGCATCAGGTCTGCTCGCACTCGAAGCGATCGATCGTCTACAACAAATTAAATCAAGTGACATAATCATACCAACAATTATCGGCGGATCGGAATTTGTTTTAACTCAACCACCCACTTACCCTGAAAATCGACTCGCTGATATTTTAACAAATGTAACAAATGTCGAATTTCGTTTCAACCTACGATGGAAAGTGAGCAATTCACCGGTTGTAGATTATCAGACAGTTCTTTTTTGGATGGCTGCTGAGCATAAATCACAAGGTAGTCTCGTCAATGAAATCTTGTCGGAATATGATCATGATCGAGTTAATGAACAATATTTTTACTTTGCCATTAATGAACGATACGGTGATAATACACGTCTTTTAATGGTCCAAAATCTATTTACTCAGCTTGCTAACTTGCATGGTGATGACATGAAAAATGTTCTTAACGACAGCTATACTACGTTGAATTAAGTTGAGTGACAATTTTCCCGTTCTTTTTTTCCATCAATATAAACGCATTATAGTTTAACAGTTTAGCTGGTCTTTTCATTCAGTCACTGAAAGCTGCCGAATGTGATTTCTAACATGAGCAGTCCAACATTCTATTCTCACTATAGTAACTGTTGATAGTGACGGAAGAAATTTTCGAAAAATTCCTCGAAAACTATAGCGGTAGCGGCAGATTTCCAGCCGCGATAGACATCTATGTTTATGAATAAACGTACTTCCTTTTTTCAATATAGATTTTTTATTACTTTAGTGTGGGGTGCGGATGTGGGTGGGTGTTGGTGTGGTTGTGAATCTTTCTTTCACCCACACCCACACCCATGTTGAATATAATATTCCAAACGCTGTTTTGTTCATAAATCGAAATTTTTCAATTTTAAACTTTATTTTTTTGTAAATCTAAAAAACTGTTCGATGATTGAATTCACATTCGGATTTAATATAATGAGCTAGTTTTATAATAAGCATTACATTCATTTTTCTATTGATAATATATCTTTGATGAATCATTTATATGTATGTCCATCAATAAAAGGAATCGTGTATGTCGAACATGTCATGTTTTTCTCACGTACCACTGTATTGACAACATTGATGTGATGATTTACTATTACTCCCAATATAATATATAATTATTTTCTCTTTCTGCGAGTATTAATATATGCTTCTATGATAGATATGTTGTCCATGTTTATCGGTAGAGAAGGTATTTTCGAAAGAATTTTATTTTTTTTTCTCTCTTTCTCTAAACTGTGAGGGTTGAGCTAATGCTAAATGATAGAGACTATAGGAATGCAATGGTAGGCTAACGCTGAACGTCGAATCTTTTTCAGCATCACTCACCGTTTTTAGTAATGTCAGAGATCGGAGACACTATCAGTTACTCTCATATTTATTGATTTTATCGGTGGTGATTGTAAGCCTTCTACCCGTTTATTCACTTCACTGAACTCAAAGATGACGATTGGAAGTGCGTCACTAAACGAATGGGTGGTGTACCAGCGTCATCAGCGAACGATGGTCTAGAAGTAGGAAATTATCGTCACATCACCAGTTGTCTAGCATCTGTTCTGCGGGTATTCACACAATACTTAGAAGTTTTTCGCTACTAACTATCGGGAACGGTAACTTGCCATGACTACGATAGTGTCATCGATAGCACGGTAGATCAATGAACGGTGCACCACCACTGCTACATCCTTGCTAGAAACTATATATTGAACGTAATAGATAGAATATGTAATATAGCAATCACGGACAAATGAGAATTTAAGATAAAACATTCCGACAGTTTTTCTATTATTGTAATTATACATTTCTGGTCAAAATTATAAAATTACCTACATGGAAGCCATTGTTTGCTCGCTCTCGATTACTACTAACTTTCGAGAAATGAAATATCGATGTAACTATGTACACTTAAGGTATTGACAAATAAGAAAAAATAAATGTTTATCAAAATGATTCGATATTTACCTGACTAAAATTATCGGTCCATCATTAATGTTTCGTTATTAAAATGAGTCAGAGAAACGTTATTTTTGCTTAAAGATTAAATAGACAAATGAAGAAGGTCAATTTTGATATGTTTCTAAAAACAAGTTTGTCAAGTAATCCATTAATTTTTAATTCAAAATAACGTTTCTCTGACTCATTTTGATGACGAAAGATCAATGGTGGACCGATAATTTTAGTCAGGTAAAAATCTAATGATTTTGATAAACATTTATTTTTTCTAATTTGTCAATAACTTTAAAGAAATTTGATACTATCTTTGAATAGAGCATACTTGAGTGTATGTAGTTACATCGATAATTTCATTTCTCCACAGTTATTAGTAATCGAGAGTAAGCAAACAATGGCTTCCATGTAGGTGATTTTATAATTTAGGTCAGCATTGTATATTTCACGAACAAAAATAGCAGTTAAATAGAGGTAAGTTTTTCTTAAGAATATCTTCTCAGATTTGACCGATTAGAGTATTGTTTAATTTGTTGATAAGATATATCGGTCGACCAAGAATAAGACAAAGTATGCTAATATTGTCAGTGATATCTTTTGCCTAAAATGTATGATAAAAGCTTTTTTTCATCGAAAAACTCTTGTGATTTGTTTGACAATTAGAAAGAACAACGTGTCAAGTTAATGTTGATTTCCTAAAATTCTAGATGAAATTGCCATTTTCTGATTTTCGGTGTATATCGATGTTGGTCATATTGTCACAATCTATATTGTGTTTGGTTCAGTATGAAAAAAGTGATAATTCTGCTCAAGGGATACGTTTCTCTGGAAATGATCAGTTCACCGTTTTTGTTCGCAATCTTTTTAAAGTATTTGTATTGTCTTTTCATCAATTCAAGTCTTTGAATGACTGTTACATAACATATCCAATGAAAAATTTATACGTTTACAGTTTGACTATTATATCAAATAATGACAATACAACGACTCACAAATTGCACAGTTTTGTGCAAGTAGCTGAAGATATGAACACCCAAAATGTAGTTCTTACCGTCTTCACTGTTAATCAGTCAAATTGTGGTATGTTTCAAAAGTTTTCCTGTGAGATTATTTAAAGTTTGAACCTTTTAACAGTTCGGGTTACAGGAATTTCGGCCCACGGAATTTTCGGCCCAGAATTTTTGACCATCACTCTCACATCCTCACTTCATCCTGGAGATAGTTAGGCTCTGGGCCGAAAACTCCTTGGGGCGAAATTCCGGTCTCCCAACAGTTCGACTTTTTATCTGTTTAGATCTACTAATGATTTTAACATGAAAGCTAAAAACTTATCGATGAAACATGGATTAAGTTGTTGGATGATTATTTGTTGTATTGAAACGCTTTCTTTAACTTTTCATAGGTGTCTTCTTAGCCAGTTGACACTATTCTAAAAAAATACTGTAAAATCTTATTGTTGATAGAATTTATTTTTTTCCTGTATGAGTTCGCATACCATCAGCATCCTCTTTTCGTACAAATATAATAACATTTATTTCTGCACGAGATAAATAGAATCTACAGATTAAATTTGTTATCTATGAAATATCTTCAGAATATTTAATAGAAGTCTTTTGCATCAACAATAATCTATTGATGAGAAAGGAAAATGGTTCTTAAAGATAGATTAGTACTTATTGAGAAAGAAACGGATGTAGAATGAATCTGCAGATAGCTAGGAAAAGTTAACAGATGGACGATATATTGTTTTTTGTAAAATCATCCTTCCACAGGAATATATGTTTTGCGTAACTTTATTGTTCGTTATGATGAACATCAAGAATACATGTTACTCAAAATTGATCCATCACAGAAATTTGCATATCTATTTGCTAGCTCGTTTATCGTCTCGTTTGACATTGGTAATTTGAAGATATTTGAGGTGGCAAATATGAGCACAATCGCAGCCTCGATATTTTCCATACGTGACATCGATCTTACTGATTCATATGCGATTTTAGTTGGATATTATGTCAAATCGTATATGACAGATTTAGCCTCGTATGCAGCACTTCTTCTTACTCTTAATCCAATACGAGGAGTACACGGTGTAGATATCAATTATGGTTATCCTCTAATCTCATCTCAAGCACTTTATTACAATTTTGGCACCGCCATGTCAGTATCCATCAATCCTACGCGTCATATGGCCATTGTCGGATTGCCAATAGAGAACTACGTGATTCTACTCAGTATAAATACTACTAGTTTATATTATAGTGAATGGACATTAAATGTTACAGCCAGATATGCCACTGTTCATAATGCTATTGTTGGTATGGGTCGTTCCGTGGTCTGGCTTGACAATGCAACAGTAGCTATTACTGTTCTCACAGTTCCGGATCGTCCATGGTCCGAATTAGAAGTTTGGGTGTATGATATTGATAAACTGTCCAAAGGTCCTCTTTTCGCTTTTCCAAACAACCAGCAAATAATTTCATTGGGACTACCTCGCTTCCTTCACATGCTCTCTTGGTCTGGAAATTTACTCATACTTACCGACAAAGACATAGTGCTGTTTGTACCATCAACACTGGCCGGTTTCTCTTCTGTATGGGATATATACCCTTCTAGTAATAATATTATCTTCAATCCGACACAATGCGTTGCTGGCACATATAAAAATACATCTAATTTCGGACCATGTACTGTTTGCCCGCCACAAACGAAAAATCCAGGCAAACAACCATGTACTGAATGTGAGTTATGTGCGCCCACTTCCTTCTGTCCTCTAGGTTCTGTTGATGACGTTTCGTTAGATGTTTATCCATCCTATACTCAAACATTTTCATATCCCGATTCTCTAGATATAAATAATTATGATGATCTTCTTGTGCAGAATATTTTTACGATTGGTTATTCACGTCGTTGTATTGTTATTTCACCTCTGTTTTGGACAATAATTGTCATTATATTATGCTATATTGTCTGGTTCTTGATGACTTTGCCAAAAAGATGTAAGTATTCTAAAGGACATTCTCATCGAAAGAGGATCAAGCGATTCTTCAAAAAAACAAATATTGTGAATGAAGGTGAACGATGGGTAGGTGGTTTATTTTCATTTGGTATCATTGCACTTTTTGGTTTCACATGTTGGTTCGCATCTGAATTCTTAAATCTCTATCCAATTGAAACATCCGGTATGTCATATGTCCAATGTGATGATACTGTACGTAATGCTGTATTTGAAAGTGCACTACAATTGCCTCTACCTAATCCTGATGGTAAACAATGAGCCATTTTTCAAATGCTTGATGATCAACCTTTAACAATGACGGTAGATTTATTGAATACAGCAGCTGATTGTTCTAATATTACTGTTCAACAGAATAAACTAGGAGTGAAACACTTATTGTTGTCAATTAAATCATGTGTGCTTCAACCAGACAATGCTACACGCTCTATAAGGTTTTCATTGCCAACTCATCGTACAAGCATACAAATAAACATTACAGGACCTTTTTTTTGTTGGAGGAGTGCAATTATGTTTACATGGTCCAAGTCATATTCGTGATGTAAACACTTTACAAACACTTGATATATGTCAATTATTTTCGACCATAAATTCGACATTATCGTATGTAACTACCTTACATATGGTACTGATTAAAGTCATTAATGTGACTAAACCTTGAATGTTGGTGGCAATGCTCATTATCATGGACGATGGGTTCCGACTTTTGCCGAAAGTTCACTTTCTGATGAGTTACTATATGAACAAAATGGACAACGCTTTCGATACAATGTTAAACGTACAATACTAGTAATCACATTGAGTGAACAACCTTTTTATCTTCAAAATATTCAACAACCTATTATTCGTAAAGCAGAACTCACTTTTCACACGCTACTCTTTTGTACACTCATCATTGAACTGTTCAGCATAGCTTTTCTTGTATTTAGACGTGTTGTTATGCCTGCTATCCATGCTGTTCATCGTTGTTGTCATCGTACAAAACAGAATAATATGAGAGAGGAAGCTCCGTTAACATCATCTACGAGCGTAGCATCTGTAATGCAACGAAGTTTAGATATCAATAACATGGATACGAATGTGTAAATATTAGCAGACCAAAAACAAACTAAAACACTGATCTTGTCGATGGTCGCATCTATATTAATTTAAACTTTTGAATGTCATTCATATTTCATTTTGTTTATCTTAATTTTGCATTACAAACTATTGCTTTTTGCTTATTATCATATACAATTACATATATAATAAAGTAAACTTAATAAGTCGCTATCTATATCACTTCAAACATTTCTAACAGAGTTCTACTGTACTGATAGAATAGTACAGATATTTACCATTACTTTTTTTGTTGTTCAAATTAAACTTATTCAATTTTGCAACTATCAGATTAATTCTAACATTGAAAAATTCAGATTTGTAAGATATAATTTAAATTAATTGTTGAGGATATGATTTCTAAATAGTCATATAAGAAAACTAAAATGAATATTTTAACTGAATAAAAGATTTTAATCAAAGTTCAATGATGACAATACTTATACCAACTAGTATCACCTGATTCAAAATTACTCGTTTAATAGAACAATCACATCTGCAATAGAAAAGCTAACTGTATCTGATATGATTTTTATTGAAGTATTTATAGTATCTTGATAAAGTACTAATCGAATGTTGAAAAAGAAAATTCCAATAAACAGAAATTAGTAATTGAAGGTGGTTAATGAGAATGTACGAGGAAGTGTACATTGCTGTGCCATACATTACAAAATGTAAAAAATGAATGAATAATAAATAACGTAAGTATTCTCTTTTTTGTCTAAGAAATTTTTAAAATTATTTCAGATCAATTCAGAAGAAATGACAAATAATTATGAATATATGAATGAATCATCCGTTGATATCAGTCTTAAATGTATAATTTGCTCTGTTCCTTATATAAATCCATGTTTAACACTATGTGTTCATATCTTCTGCCAATTATGTATTACAAAATGGATTGAAGATAATGATCGATGTCCTGCATGTGGCAAAAAACCAATAACAATCCAAGGTTTAAGACCAACCAATCGCATTGTAAAGCTTGTCGACAATAGAATATTCAACGAGACAATTTTGATGAACATTATAATAAATATTGTGGGATGTGGGTGTGGGTGTGGGTGTCGGGGGTGGGACGTAACTGTGAGTGCGAGTCTTTTCTTCGTGTACACGGACACCCAAATCCACACCTACCCACACCCCATTTTTTCCATTTTTAAAGCGAAAAGAAACACAGAATGAACAAAAAAAACTTCGAACAAGTCGTCCAATCAATTCGCATGCTACACGGATGTGTCGGCCTTTTCTCTTTTACAGTAACGTCGACGCCGTAAGAAATCGAACAATTTTTTCCTCGTTAGTCATACGAAGCATGTTTATTGTGTCAGAAGTCATCATATAGAACGAAATCATTGTCTAAACGATATTTGAAAATGAATTGTTGATTAGTCAGTTAGACATGACTAAAAGAGGTCCTATATATGTTTTTGCCTAAGTAGAAAATAACAAACAGTAATTCTCATCATGTCGGTGAAATTCAGTCTAGTGATAATCATTAACAATGAATTCAATGACAACAATATTTATTGTTCAGTTCTATGTTAAAAATTGTTTTGTTTTTTTTACCAAAAGACTCTCTTTCATATATTTTCAATTTAGACAATAAGACAATTTTAATCGATTGAAATATGAACATTTGAGAACTGAATTATACTTCTGCAATACAGTCATTGCAAATAAATAAGTACGCTTAGTTGTACTCGATGTTTAGGTATTCGAAATTTGAAACAAAGCAATTTGATTTCTATTGTAGTATATTTATAATTCCTTCCAAACCAATAATTAATCACGCAGTTTTTTAATCATAGGAACATTTCAGTCAAAGTCTATTGCCTTTTTCTCGATAAAAGAAAAATACTATGCTAATTCATATGAATTGCTACTCTTGGAACTCTTTTCAAATCGCCATACGCACTTATTCGTCATTACTCTTTTTATGAAGAAAGAACAAGGAATAGACTTAGTAAGTTAACAGTCACAACGCAGAGTCGCCATATCTTATCGATCTGTAAAACATAAATCGCAAGAAACGCTTGAAAAAAGATAACTCATTTTTATTGAACTTTGTCGATCACTCATACGCTTCGATACTAGACATCGGCGTGGCCAATGTTTTTTGGTCATCCAGAAAGTAAAAAAACTCAAAGAAATGACATTAAAATGATGAAGTAGATTAAAAAAATTCATGTATTTCAAAATCATCGATTAAAATAGACATTTTCATTAATTTCATTGCATGATTTTGATTAAACATGAACTTCACTGCATTTGCTTAATTAAAATGTCGATTTTCATGAATGATTTTGAAAAACATCAATTTTTTTGCCCGTTTCATTATCAGAAATGCCATTTTTTTTCGTGTTTTTGATATAAAATGCACGAAAGTCATGGCATTTTTTTGATCCCATGGGCACGGTCACGAAAATTTTAATGACTGTAATCGTGCAGTATTTTTTGATCGCCTATATGTATATAAATTATGCAGACATAGTGTTGACTAAATAGTGTTTCTATTAGCAGCAATAATCAGATAATGACTGCTAGATGTGATAAAAAAACAAAGGAAATACGAGATAAGAACAATAATATCTCTACGATTAGAGAGTGTAATAAAAATTTACTTCACACAGAAAGAAAATTTCTAAAGAAAATTTGTTATAATTAATTTGAAGTAATAATTCAGAAGAATTATTTTTTTTAAATCAAAAGAGAAGAACAATATATACCAGGTTCAAGTTCACTCCAGTACCATTGATTTTCATAAAAATAACTAACATTTTGTTATTTTTCGTTCATACAAATCACTTAACTGCTACGAAGCACTTCATAGTATACCCCTCATATGAAATAAGGCAACCCCGAACGCAAAAGTTCGGGTAAAGGTTCGGTCTTGAATGCTGTCATTTTCGGTCAATTGATAAAACTATGAAGCAAAAACAAAGCAAAATAAAGGCTTTCAAGTTTAAATCTCTAATGAAGTTAAAAAATAGTCCTAAGATGTTCAGATTACAAAATTATTGTGACCAAGGTCCAGTTACGGTCACGCTCACGAAATTTGTTTCAAAGGTAGTCACAGTGACGGTCGTGACCATGATAATCGTGAGTCACACCGATGTTTATTCGATACACAATTCTCTTATGAAATGATGCATTCAATAAAGCAATCTGTAATTATTGAAATATTATGTAACGTAGATTTTCGAAAAAAATAAATTCAACATGATTACAGTTTGAATTCAATTGAAATGTTCATGGGATTCGTTAATGTTCTTTTTCAAAAGAGACAATAATATGACATTAATGAAATCACCAGTGTATCTTTTGAGCAAAGTCGACTTTCATTATTTCAACAATATGGAATTATTCAACAGATTCCTTATGAATCACCTCATATTTTTCGTTTCTTCGACAAAAAAATTTAAAAAATAACGATAAGTTTATGATCTGTGATTGAAGCATTCGAAAAAATTTATTGAATATATTCAATGGTTCTAATTCTTTGATCAATTTTTTTTGGTACATTTTTCAATCGATTTTCACTGTTAATATTCAAAAACGTTATACAATATTGGTTATCTAATCATACCATAGTTTGCATTTGAACATTCATTGAATAAATATTCTACTCATGCCAATACAACTAGACAAATTCAATATTTTCTGGTTGTACAGTGATGTCATCTGCTATTGTAATGGAAGTAAAAACTGTTCGCATGGAATTTACAATAGGTTTTTGTTCTTTGAGGGTGTGTTTCATTGATGAAATATGATTTTATCAGTACGCAAAAAATCGTTCAACGGTGAAGATCTACAACTCAATCCGATGGCCGAAATTATTTGAAGTATACTAGAAACTATTACACATATTAACGGATAGACAAAAGTTTCGATCAACAATCAATTCTTCATTGAATAAATTTAAAAGAATTGTTCGAGAGACACATGTTCATTTCATTGAGGTTGTTAATCATTACACTTGATCATCCGTTGAATAAAACATTTTTGACATTCTCATTCTAATATGTCACTTTAAAGATGATATTTGATCCATAATTTTTAATCATTTGTTCATTTTCCAAAAAAATAGTTACTAGCACAATCCCTGGAAAATTATAATACGAAAATGTGATGTAGCTGCTATTAGTATTCACAGGGATATT